GGGCACATAGCAGCTCCAATTGTCCGGCTGCCCGGAGCACTTCCGGGTTCCCGATGGTGCCGGACCATCAGGAGTGCCGGAGCATTGGATGCTGGACCAATGGAGTTTTATTGTATTTTGAAATAAGGGACTAGTTATTTTGAAATAACTCCTGCTTTCCACGAGGAATAATTCTTATTTCAAAATAGTATTAGTGTGAATGCTCCACTACTGCTATTTTGAAATCACTACTCTCGAGAGTCATTCAGAGTAATTACCCCCGAGTATTTCCGGGGGCTTTAAGTTGAGGTAGGGCGTCCACATTAAGAGAGCCTGCCTCGGACTAATTTCGAGTCTTCCCTGTAACATTTGATTCCTTTCTCTTTCTTCTTCTATACCTAGGCTCTTGTTTGATGTTGGGTTTTCCTGTATAATATCTGTCAAATCTAATTTTTCCTTTTCATAGCTATGGTAAAACCTTTACCATGTCTTGGTCAATCTCTTCCCTTGATCAGTGTAATTACCTTTTCTCTGGCCTCCTTTTTTCTTTCCTCTTAATTTACTCTCCTCCCCATCTGCCCAGAAAGCCATCATTTCTTCACCAACTTTCTCTTTCCATCCATGTCCCCTTTTCCTCATCCTCAGTGTTCCTCACTACTCCATCCCTCCTATCACTTCTGCTCTCATTTCACTAATCATCCCTCTCACAGCCCTACTGTCACTTGCCTTCATACTTTCTTCATTATTGCATCTGATACTTGGAACAGATTCCTATTCCATTTGTCCCAAACAGAACCGGTGTCCTCCTTAAGTCCACTTCTTTTGCAGATCCTTTCACTTTGTGAACCATTTCCCCAAGCATCTTTGTGTTTGAGTTGAATCGTAAGCTGTTTGGGCATATACCTTAGCTTTGTGTTTTGGAAATAACTGTATGCTTCCCTTTTAAAACAATATTGGCCACAATGTTTGAAAGTATTTGTTTTGGAGCTTCCCACAGTGTTGAGGGTGAGGAGTCGCTGTAACGAAGCTTGGAAATTAATTGCTCATTCAGCAACAGAGAATACTCACCTCCTCAGCCAGACAGGCATCTAGCATATTGAAGTGTATTCAAAAAGGAATTTGGGACTCACGTGCATTTGGCAGCTATCTGTATACCAAAAAATCATTTACAAACCATGCCCTTGTGAGACATCTTTGCTTGCTGTTCATTTTTAGGGCCTGTATGACATGGAGGAAGATGATGAAAGTGTATCTCCCCTTCCTAGCAAACAGATGAAAATCACCACCACGAACAGCTTCCTGCACAATGCGGTAAGAGGGTGTCTTAGCAGTTTCCACCACACCATGCTCACTTTGGGTGGACATGCAGGCTGCAGCTTTACAGAGCTGATGTTACTTTAAAGTATGTAAATGATCTCATTGGAATGTGTTTGCCCTCAGCTCCTCCCTTCTCTTCATCCTTTGCTTCCAGCTTTACTTTGTGGGTCAAAGAAGTCTCCTTTGGGCTCCATACAGTTTTCCAAGCCTTTTGCAGCCAGAATAATTACAAACCGTCACAGGCAGGAGATTTTTGCATGTTGACTTTTGCCTGTCTTTCCCTTTTGGGGAATAGTTCCTTGGTCCATCAGTGCCTGAGCATGTGAGAAATGGAAACTTGTTGGTCCCACTGATCGATCCCAGACTGGCCATCTATGGAAAGAGATCATCTTGGTTTGCAAAAATAGAACTGGCTGCTATCATCAGGCACCAACCATCTGTGAAAGGATGGAAAAGAAGGCTTTGCCTGGTTTGGTCTAGCTAAGTTGGTGCTGAATCAATGCCACTGAGCTCCTGGAATTTCCTGCATCTGACTAAGATTTAAAACTAAGCTCTTTATCTCTTATGGTCATTAAAAATTCCTGGATTTTTTGAGGGGCAGGAGGGGGGCAGAGTAGAGATTTTAGTTCCAATACACGGACCACATTTCAAGCATGATTATTATATTCTGCTGACTGTAACTCCCCAACGGGAGATGTCTCTCTTCACATCTCTTCCTGTGATCCTAGGGCTTTGTCTACATTTAACTGTTTAAAGCGCAGCCGCAGCAGTGTTATGAACTGAAAGTGTGATTGTAGCACAAGTGCTGGGCGAGAGCTCTCCCAGTGCTCTATGTAAACCACCTCTGCAATGGGAGTAGTTAACAGTGCCGTAGCTTGGTTCATACTGATGCTTTACAGTGCTGTATTTTGCTGTGTCAGGGGTAGGGGGTTCCCACCCCGAGCCAGAAAATTACAGCACTGTAAAGTGCCATTGTAGACTTGGCCTAGATTAGTGTTTCTGGAGGAAAATGGCCACAGCATTCTGTCCCACAGATAGCTGCATTTTAATGGATAAGTAGGCTCTTAGTTTGTAAAGTGCTTTGGGATCTTCACAATGAATGTGGTAAAATGCAGTTCATTCTTAAGTGAACTTTATTACTGCAATGTGAAAGCAAGTATCTTTTAACAGTGCTTGTCTGTGAGGAGAGGTGATGACTATCCTTAGGACAAAATGCAATTAGGGATATAAAATCCTGTTTAATATGTTTAACCAGTTAACCAGCCCACCTTGTCACGCCACTGGTAGGGGACTACTGGATGGGCCCACAACTGGGCCGGAGAAACCCCCTGCCTGCACCATGGGCAGGAATCTGCTCTGGCCAGGCACCTGTTAATTGCTTACACTGGTAAGCATGCTGGTAAGGCAGTACTTACTAGTTAACTGGTTACCCCTTGACATTCCTAAAATGCATTTCTGAATGCTTTAGCTGATTTCCCTGCTGTGGGTCTCCAGTAGCTCATAAAGTCATCAGGCTGAGAGGATGTGATAGTGCCTCTGTGTGTACTGATAGCTCTCCCTGGCCATTGCTCCTTAAAAAGGGATTTTTGCTTGAAGGTTACATCTTTCAGGAATGTTATTATTCACCCTTTGTTTAGGCTGGGCTCAGTGGCAATAAGTTCTCTCTTTCCAAGACGGTCCCCCTCACCAAAGTGGTCCAGAATGACACCTATACAGCTCCACCAGCACCTCCCTCTCCCATTCGGACAAAAGCTCTGACAAATGTGTCCCGGACCTTGGTGACCAAAGAGGAACCACCAAAAGAAACAGCACCTATTGAGGTGAGTACAAGAAAAGGGGTTTCTGCCTGCTAGTGAAGATCTTCCACACCTCTAAAATCTGTTTAGATGGGTTGGATGGGCAGGTTGCTTCATCACCTCCCTCCCACATTCCCAGCATGGAATTTAGATAAGAAATGGATGGTTACTTGGACACCAAAGGTGACTTAAGTGACCAGTGGGATCTGAGGTCTAACTGACTAACTGGCTTACATGTGCAGGGCTAAACTAATTGTCACACTTGGGGCTGGGATGGAAAAATTACTTCAGAGAACTATCAAGAAAGAGGCTTTATCTGTAAAGATAGTTGGATTGAGCTTTAGATTCTCAGCATTGTTTTTTTTCTCTCTTCCCTTCTCCCATTTGTCTTCCCTAGAGTCCTATTTGCTCCAGTTTATTCATGCTTTCTCTATCATAATGTCTTCTCTGATAGGTTTTGCTCTGCCCTTCTGAATATGATATACTCTTCTTTGTATTGGCAGCCGGTATTCAGCCCTTTGGAAGGCACAAAGATGACTGTGAACAATCTGCACCCCCGCGTCACAGAGGAAGACATTGTTGTGAGTGCCATTTATTGCGGGGGCTCTGTGTGGCCAGAATTTCCCTCTCCCCCTGCCATTGGTTTGAGAGCACTGGCCACGTTTTCTGTTGGGGAAGGAAGGGCATTTTTTTTAAGAGTCCTGAGGATTCCCTACTTTCCACTTCTTAACCTTTATGCTAAAGAAAATCCCTTTTAGCATGCCTTGAGACCTGCTCTGATTGGCTGGAGGAGTTGATCTCAACTGGCATTGTTCTCACCCTCCTGTTACCTACCCCACACACCCAAAGCCTCCGCAGCACTTGCCCATAGTAAGCCTCCCTGGCATTTCTAGCCCTTGAGCACTAACCAGAGGCCCATTCCTGGCACTGTCTCATTAGAATTTTAATTCATGTTCTTTTCGGAAATTAAAAATATGGAAATCTTTTAATTCATTTTGGAAAAACCTTCAGCTCTCTTCCATTAGACGGGATGTCAGTGGGTTTAACTCCAGTTATTTCCTGTCCTATGAATTCTTGTACTGTGACTGATGTAACCTTGACTTACTACAATAGTGCTAGTAATGAATTTATTGTGCAACTGTGCTATCAGACACCAAATACCTGTACCATAGTTGGTACCTCCAGACTGTTAGCTGTTTCACTCCCAGAGTCGTGAACTGCTCAGCTGTGGATATGGTTGCCCTCTTTCTGAGCCTAGCTCACCCATGGTAGGACCGTCAGATCAAAACAACAACTGTAATATGGCACTGACAGCAAACACAGCCATGATTCTTGCTGTCTGTCCTTAGGAGTTGTTCTGTGTGTGTGGTGCTCTAAAGCGAGCCCGTCTGGTACACCCAGGAGTGGCTGAGGTGGTCTTTGTGAAGAAGGAAGATGCCATCACAGCATATAAGAAATACAACAACAGATGCTTAGATGGTAAGTTTGAGGCTGGAGGCAGGATGCATAGCTCAATCAAGGTTTTTTATTCTGGTGCAGATTTCAGAAGGTGAAGTCACCTTGTGGTTCCTAAAGAGAATGTTTGTCAGGGAATGTTACTGAGAGCTGAACAAAGGGTTCACTGCTACAGGTTTTATGTAGGTAATTGAATATCTTCACTGTTCATCAATGTTTTCAAAATCTGTTTCCCTATAGAGAGGTATAGCTCAAAATTAGCATCTGCTTTGCACTGAAATTAAGAACACAAAATTATCCCCACCAGATAAAACTGTTACTTTGTCTAATCCGGTTTCTGGTCTCTGACCCCAGCCAGTTTTGGACACTTCAGAGGAATGCATAGTGTCCCTGCTTGTGCAGTATAATTAACCACTGTTTTGTCTCAAGGTACATCCTAAGCATTTCTGAAATCAGGCTTTGCAAAAATAAATATCAGTTCCTGTATGAATTTTAAATAGTACAGCTATTCAACTAGTACAGTTTACCTATATATTATTATAGATGGAAATTAGTTGCTGTCTCTAGGTGGTTAATCCCTAGCTCTTGACCCTTGAGCTTAAGGATAGATGGCACTTTTAACTTTATCCTAGCAAGTAAGGTCACTTAGGTGCAAGCATCTTTGCTAGAACACTGCAGCCTACTCTGTAATTGCTCAGCCAGTTGTTATCTCTGTGCTAAAGTGTTGTAATTGAATTTGTTCTTATGCAGCTCTGCTGCCACTTGCAAGTGCTCTGACTTTGCTTTGACTCATGAGTGAAGCTGCTGTCTCTAATGGCTTTCACAATTCCCAAATGATGGGGCTGCATCCACGCACTTTTGTCTGCACACCAATGTAATGCTTCTGTGGTGTAGCCTTGCTGGGGAAATTAAATGTGATTTTGTTGTTTCTTTGGATTTTATTTTAGGGCAGCCAATGAAGTGCAACCTTCACATGAACGGGAATGTCATCACATCAGATCAGCCAATCTTGCTGTAAGTGCTCAGGGTGAAAGAGCCAAATTCTACAGGTTCTGTTTTGGAGAAAACCTTTTGAGGTGAGGTGCAGGAGGAAAATTTTTCCATGGTGAATTCTTCTCACAAGAAAATTCTCTGTACCCCTCTTACACCTTCACCTCTTCAGCTAGCACCTAGCACTAGGTTACAACTGCTGCCTTTCCACTCACGGAAAACATGATGAGACTCCTTCCAGAGCCCATCAGTGCCAGCCTGACTGGCTGCAGGATTGCTGCTGAAGAATGTAATGTGTTTCCTTTTCATGCCTCTGAGTTGAGTATGCTGCAGTCTGTTTCCATAACATCCCTTGCCTCTGCTAGCTCAGGAATGAGAGTCTGGGACCAAGAACCTTCTGCATCTGAAAGCATATCTTAAGCCATGTACTCAATGCCAGAGGGCAGGGGGCGGGGACATAACTTATGAGGCTATCCTAGACTTACTATTATGTGAGGTTAACAGTTGTGTCTGTTTTTCATCATACAGTCGATTAAGTGATACCCCCTCTGTGAAGAAGGAAGTAGAACCACGGCGGTCGAGTGCAAGCGCCTCCTCAAATCCACCAGCTGAAGTGGACCCTGACACCATTCTGAAGGCACTCTTCAAATCTTCGGGAGCCTCTGCCTCTGTGCAGCCCACAGAATTCAAAATCAAACTCTGAGAAGAGTGGAGGCAAGCAGTGGACTGGAAAACTTGCTGAAGGCGTGGAATGGGGAAAATAGCGTGGGATCGCAGGTGTTACTGTGTTTGCCCACCTTGTGGTTTTTGTTTTCTATGATTGCTACCTTCCTGTACAGTAGTATTCCCTCTTGTGTGTATTTTCTGTTTTAATAGTTGGAGTTTTCTTCCACATTTTTTCCAAGAGAATAACCTCCCCCTTCTGCCAGTGAGATATATTACCAAGCATAGACTTGTGTAACTCCCTCGTTTGCTCCACGCTCCTTGTGGCCAGCCATTAAAAGTGTACCTAGAGACTATGAGGGAAAGGGAGTGGTAAACAGTACCTCCTAACCTCCAATTTACAACCTCTGATGAAAGGAGATGCCCCTCTTTTTATTGTCACTTGATACCCGATTTCATTTTTTAAAGCTGCATTTGGGATGGAGCCAGGTGTGATTCTCAGAAGCAAGTCGCATTTTGACAATTTTATCTCGCGATAGGATACAGCTTCTGCCTGGCTATTACATGCTTTGCTGATCAGCAGCTGTGACACTTGGAAGTACTGAGAAGAATCCAGCTCCCCTGTTTATCAGCTGATGGAAGAGTTTGGGCTGGGGAGAGGATATATGCACAGGTGGAGACATACAGCTTCTAATCTGCTGTCACAGTTAAGCCTTTGCTATTGTCCTTGTGAAGTTCAGTGTTCAGTAACAGTGAGGGGGAGAAAATGGCTCATGCATCTGTGTAATGTGACTATATCAGCCCCTTAGGGTGCCACAAGGGGATCTGCTCTTTCCTCCCTCTTTCTGGAATGACTCTGTAAGAGTAGAAACTTTGACCAGAACCACAGAAAATGGAGTTTCCTTTCCTTTTAGGTTGAATCATATCATGTTCTCTCATTTCCTGTTCTATGTAGGGACATGAGCTTTTTTAATTGGGTGGGATGAGGACTGGTAAGTTCAATTTTATGGAGAGGAGTGGGCTGCGGAGTAAGTCATGTCCTAATATGAAAGAAGTAATCCTCTTGTCCACCTGCTTGCAAGGAATATCAGTTATAAAAAGATTCCGTGTGAGCAGTACTTGGCTGCTTTACCCAACAGCTACTCATGTACATGGGCTAGAAGGATGGTGGAGGCACTTCATGGTCCAAGAGGGATGGCTATTGAGAAATCAGTGTAAGGGATCCAGCAAAGAGGGGAACATAGAAACAAAGCAAGCCCCAAGTAGAGCCACAAGAATGTACCTTCCAAAGAGGGGCTGTTCATTGATGAGCCATTGGCCTCTAGGTGGCACTTGCTGTGCTCCCTTTGTTAGCATAGCATTAACCCAGTGAGAACTGGGAAGTCCAGGTAGCTCTATTATGAAAAAAGAGGGAAATGAAGATGATCCCAAAATCTGGCTGAAGTTTTCAGCTTGATCCTTCCCAACTATGAAACTAAACTTTTCAGCACTGCTGACATTCTTCAGTGAATTCTGTCCACTACTGTTGTAGATTCAGACTCCATTCCTTGGTGGGCCCTGTGTTTCTTTTGCGCTTTTGTGCTAATTCTTTGTTCTGTCCAGCAGGTACAAACCATTCCTCTCTCATGCCGTATCACTCCTAACCATGGAAAGAACTGTTGACTCAACAAAACTTGTTTTTTTGGAATACTCATTGTATATGGAAAATAGTTGCACAGTTATGGAGGGGTGCTCCTTGAGAACTGCAAGTGTGTGAGGGGAAGGGATTTAAGACAGCAATTATTCCTCTTTTAGATCACCTATCACATCTGTATTTTAATAAAAGGAGGTGGGGAAGGGAGAATTAGGAGTTGGAGAAGACTATGTATTATCCATTTCAGAATAAATGTTTTGTTATACAGAGATTCAGTTCTAAACTTCTTAAGACACTGAGAGAGTTGACAGAGACCAGGTCAGTGGAGCTGTTGAACTTTGAATTAAGCCTGCTGCTTCAGCGGTATAGAGAACTGAGGAAGTCCCAAATCAATAATGTTGGTTCAGTGATCAATGTCATACATAGGTAAGCACAAGGTGGAAGAGAAAGAATGGCTCAACTCAGGCAACTAATACTCATGTGACCAAGTCTTTCAGCTTTGGTGCTGAAGTTCAGCCCAGCTCTCTCTGTTGTCAGAATTATTACCAGCTGATAGCTGGTTGCTGTTCTATGATGTGAAATGAGATCAGTAGTATTGGTCTAGTTTTTAGTAGCTAGGTAGCCACGCTACCAAAATGGACATTGTCTGTACGCATTATTGGCAGCTTAGAGGCAAAAGAATGAATGGAGCTTTGAGACTGAATAACCCTCAGAGATTAAATATGTTGGTGAGATGACTGGAGAAGTTTGTGTTGCTCCGTACCTGTTGAGAGGGGCCTTCCATGTACAGGTCTTTAAGATACCTTTCAGGAGCACTAAGCTCACAACACATTTAATTAGAGAGTAGTTCCTAACTATATTTTGTCCGACCCCTTTGGTAATTCTCACTTCATGAATGTTGACAACAGTTGTAACAGTGGAGGGAAAGATATGTTCCAGTGTTCATTTACACAGTAATCATTTTGGAGCAGGGACAGTGCTGAGCTCAGTGGACTCTGAAACTAAGTAGGTTCTTACAGTGTTACTGCAATATAAATAAGGCCACAAGAGTTTTTAGGAGCCTTACACAGTAGCACTACTCTCCTGCCTGGCTCAGAAAACTTTTGTCTGTGCTTTTCTCCCAGTAATATTGTTTTTATCAGGATAGATGAAATATCTACAAGGCCACCAACCCTCCAAGTGATGGACAGTGTGTGTGTGTGTGTGTGTGTGTTGAGAATGACAAGAATTCCTGTGCTGCGTCCTGATTTGTAAATGTTCATATGCTCCATGATGGTGTATTTACCCAACCCACCTTAGGACAGGAAATTTGAGTTGACTGCATTGCCACTGCATTGCAAAGCCTCGTTAACATGGATGCTTACCTTCCTTTCCTATTTGTCAAGAAACAAGGTGGTCTTCAGCCTAATTAAGACCATAAGGACTGTGTGGAGCAACATATCCTAGAACTGCCAGTGACCACCTAGGAAGCATGGAAACAGAACCTACATAGTGACAAGCTTTCAAGGTTTATCTTCCTGTTAAAGGTGCAGCCTTATGGTTCTTAAAAGTTTGTCACTACTGTGAGTACAAACTTCATGGATACAAACTGCAGTAACACTAATCTTTTTAGAGGATTGTTGCTCAGTTGATCCAAAGGCAGCAAGACATGGTGTGTTTGGGTGTCCCTCTTGCCTAAAAAAGTTCTCTGTGGTTTTATACACAAACCCGTGGCCACAGTTGAAGAAAAGATACAGGACTAGGTATGTCACTAATCTCCATATTTTTGGCATAGGAAGTTCCTTTACTGTTGTGAATTTAGATACATGCATTAATGATTCTTGTTTAAGAAAAAGGTTTATTAAGAGTGGTCACGTTATTGACATTTTGATCATAGGTCAAACCTAGGGTAATGTAACCAATATGGGAATCTTATCACAGTTTTGTTTCCCTATAGCCCAGTAGCTCAAAGCTGACCATTCAGAATATTCGGTTTGTTTATACTGTAATGGAGACTCTGGGTCAAAGATGAGTTCTACTAACAGACTTTAGTTTTAGAACTCTAATATAATTATCAAGTTATAAAAAAAAAGGGAATTTATCATGTGTTTTGTGTAAGGGTGTAGCAGCGGGGGGGATCTTGACCATGGTAATTTTCAGCTTTCCCATGATGTCTACAAGGTATTCAAACATTTATCCATATCCAATTTTTATTCATAATTTAAATAAACCAAATCTTGCCATCCTGACTGGATCAGTCTATTCTGTTAATCTTGCTAATTTAGAGAATCTACCCATCTGCTTTAGGCTTTCTATCTCAGCTCATCCCAACCTCTCCAAAGAGCTCTCACATCTGTGACAAGCAGAAACTAAAATGGTTGAGCAACATCTTTGACTTGTGCTCAGTTGAAACACATCTATGTCTTAAAGAAAACTGTGTCCCCCAAGGGAGCTGAGATTCTCATGTCAAAGAGCCTTAGATACAGGTGCTCATTTAATAAAACTCCCTCTTTTTTATTGATTATCTTTTTAAGCATTCTACTAGTTCAGTGATTTTTGTGTGGTTCAATGTGGGGTTGTTAGAGACTTAAAAGCAATGTATCAGAGGGGTAGCCGTGTTAGTGTGAATCTGCAAAAGTGGCGAGGAGTCCTGTGGCACTTTATAGACTAAGAGAAGTGTTGGAACATAAGCTTTCATGGGAAAAGACCCACTTCATCAGATGTATGTAGTGGAAATTCCCAGAGGCAGGTATAAATATGCAGGCCAGAATCAGGGTAGAGATAACAAGGTGACTCCAATCAGGGAGGATGAGGCCCACTTCTAGTAGCTGATCTGGAGATGTGAATACCAAGAGAGGAGAAGCTGCTTTTGTAGTTAGCTAGCCATTCACAGTCTTTGTTTAATCCTGAGTTGATGGTGCAATTGTGCATACAGGTAGATCACTGATGATGTAAGATCTTCATCAAGCATTCTGGGAACTACGATACCCACATGAGGAAGTGAGGAGACAGATTAACAGAGCCAGACGTGTATCCAGAAGCCTCCTGCTATGGGACAAGCCCAAGAAAGAAACCAACAGAACACCACTGGCCATCACCTACAGTCCTCAGCTTAAATCTCTCCAGCGCATCATCAGTGATCTACAACACATTCTGGACAATGATCCCTCACTTTCACAGGTCTTTGGAGGCAGGCCAGTCCTTGCCCACGGACAACCTGCCAACCTGAAGCATATTCTCACCAGCAACTATACACCGCACCATAATAACTCTAACTCAGGAACCGATCCTTGCAACAAACCTCGGTGCCAACTCTGCCCACATATATACACCAGCAACACCATCACAGGACCTAACCAGATCAGCCAAACCATCACTGGTTCATTCTCCTGCACATCTGCTAACGTAATATACGCCATCATGTGCCAACAATGCCCCTCTGCTATATCATCGGCCAAACTGGACAGTCCTTACATAAAAGAATAAATGGACACATCAGATACTAGGAATGGTAATATACAAAAACGTGTAGGAGAACACTTCAATCTCCCTAGACGCACAATTGCAGATCTAAAGGTAGCCATCCTGCAGCAAGAAAACTTCAAGACCAGACTTCAAAGAGAAACCACTGAGCTACATACAGTTCATCTTCAAGTTTGGATTAAGTTGATGGTGTCAACACAGATATAAAGACTGTGAATGGCTAGCTAGCTACAAAGCAGCTTCTCCTCTCTTGGTATTCACATCTCCAGATCATCTACTAGAAATGGGCCTCATCCTCCTTGATTGGATCTACCTTGTTATCTCTAGTCTGATTCTGGCCTGCATATTTATACCTGCCTCTGGAAATTTTCACTACATGCATCTGACAAAATGGGTCTTTGCCCACGAAAGCTTATGCTCCAACACTTCTCTTAGTCTATAAAGTGCCAAAGGCCTCCTTGCTGCTTTAAAAGCAATGGTTTGTGTGGAATGAGGTGGTTGTTCAAGTCCAGTTTCTAGTGGCCCAAATCTCCATATTACAGTTGTCAGCATCTCTATGTTGGGTAATAAAGATAAAATTCCTCTCTTCCCTTGGACCACTCTTTACTCCACTGTGAGAATTAAGGCTTATGGACAGTAGCGGGAAAGAGGAATGACTTGTAAAGAACTTGTGTTGCCTAGAGCTTTGCTGCACTTCTTAATTTCCCATCTGTAAAGCAGTGCTAATCCTTGGCTACGAGAGGGTTGTTGTGGGCTCAGCTGCGTTCCCAGGAGTAATGCACTGACCTGCTGGAAACTGCCCTAGAACTGAACTTGTCCTACCAATGGAAAGGGCCATGAACGTGCATTGACTGGAAGAGGGTGGATCCTATTTTCGCACCTCTGTGGAGCTACAGCCCGGCCTATAGGCAGTAATAGCGGCGTGAAGGAGGGCCCTGCATTTACCAACCCCGCCCGCCACACGCTTAGCCCGGCTGCACCCAGCCCTGCTCTAGCCGGCGCCAGCGCGACGAGAGGGGGCTGCGCCTGACCACAGCCGGCTCCCGCGCACCCAGCGCCGCGCTCCGAACCCCGCTGTTCATCGGAAGCCCCGCCCCCTGCCCAATCACAGCTTGACGCCAGCGCCTCGCCCAGCAAACGCCGGTCCGCGAAGGAACTACACCTCCCGGCGGCCCCTGCGCGCCTCAATGTCCTGACTGCCGACGTCACGTCCCGGCAAAGCAAGATGGCGGCCGGCAGGAG